TAGCACCAAGTCACTGTCCGCGGCGATGGGTAAGTCAACGAGCTCGAAGCTGCACCCGCCGCCGCCGCAACTGCCGACACCGCCCGTCTCCCCGCGGCCCGTCGCGGTCAACGAGGCGCGGGGTTCGTGGGCCCTTCCGGGGAGTGGATTCCAGATTCTCAGCAGACCTAGCCAGGCGCGGAGACAGACAATTATTTCATGATACGCAGCGATGTCATGCGCTTTCGTTCCTTTTCTCTTCCTCTTCCTTTCGTCCGGCATTGTCGGGGCTTTCCATCGGATGCAAAACAAAGTGTATATGGTATATGTACCACATTGCCCCCCCTCCGTTGCTACCACTAATACGGGCGTCGCTCCTTTCCACCACGTTCGTTTGTTCGTTTCGCGTCTTCTTTCTTGGCCCCTCCTCCCTCTTTCCCATCTAATTCTTATTCCGCTCGAACAGATCATCCGTAGTCTACATGTGCTCGTGCTCCAGGGACTTGCCGCACTCTCTCTCATAGTGTACCACTCCCATCTCGTTCCACTCCACCCATCCCGTTCCGTTCCGCCCCCATATCATCCCATTTTGCATACATCGTACCTACACGGACAGACTATATATCCGTACTTCGCACGTCTTTTCTCTACACCGGTACCATTCTCATTTCACGGACTTTTTGCAGCTTCGGTAGATTCTTGCGGGGCGGCGCCTGTGCGTTCTGTCCGGTAGTGCGCGCGGCCTGCGCGGTGCTGCTGTTTCCGGTCCTGCCCGCGGACTGTGCTCGCATCGAAGTAATCTAATATCATAGCAGAGAGCGTTCTTCGTGGGCGGAGCTACGTCCTCCGCGCGCTGTGATTGACGGGTAAGAACAGGTGTGGCCGCGTCTGCCGCAACTGGAGTCGGATTGTGCGCCTGGTCTTTCTTTGCGCAGGTGACGATCTCTTTGATGGCACAGGCCTGAATCATGGGAGTTTGTGGGTGTCAAATCAGTCTTGCGGAGCATATCGCTGAATGGGCGTGGTGGAGCACTCGAGCCCAAACAAATATGATAGTGTCTGCCACTGCGTCATGATTGGGAATACAAGATATTGTAAGACGCGTCGTCTGCTATGTAGGGGGCCCCCATCCCCGCGCAACACTCGCAGCAGCCGCGCCGCGCGCGCAGGAGCCGGGCGACGGCCAGATCCATCACTCGAACAGATTCGGTCTCCAAAGTGGGATTGTGAGATCCCCCCCCCCCGGGTCCTGGTTGAATCCAACGCACGATACATCGGCTCCTCGACACGGCGCGGTCCGCAAAACGTGGACTTTTCGCTGGGCGCGCGGCGCCCGACGGCTCACGAGGAGTCGGCGAGCCTGTCGAGCGGCGGG